GGCTAAACTACAATGACCTGGATTGACCGGTAATAACGGATGTTCAAACCTTCCTAGCCCCACTACATGGATGCATAACTAACTAATAAACGGAATATAGGGGTGGAGTCCCACCTCGATTCAATGTTATGCTCAAGATATATAGCTTGGGGCTTACCCCAGACGAAGACAGTTCTTCGTGGAAATATACCATATTTATCAAAGCATTTGTTCACGACAAAGGGCCCTCAGAACATCCCCTAGACACTCTGTATTTCTGGCACGAAATGCCTCTGGAACTGTTTCGTACACAACCACAGCTAATTGTACTCCGTTGAGCGTTGATAACTAGCTGAGATATAAACCGGTTACAGTTACACCCGAAATGGTGATTTCACAGTGTAACACTCCGAGCCTTGTGGAAAAGGATCCTTCCGATCCGTCACTCGAAACCAGTGAGACTAAAGAGAATGCCGAGGATGTCACCCAGTTGCCGGATAGATCTCACCTGTCCCTTCGCGCTGTTCAACCGGTCGACGTTGAAGTAAATGACCTTGCGCTTCATGTTGATACTACACCATCAATATTTCAGAGCCCAGCAGCTGCAATATGGAGTCGTATCTCTCCCTCGAAGGGCCAGGCAGCTTTCAAAACGATCCTTGATGGCGTGACTGCTAGCATGCCCCATGGCACTCTCACGGCCATTATAGGTGGCAGCGGATCTGGAAAGACAAGCTTATTAAATATCATTGCTGGCCGCATGGGGACTAGCCGCATGAAAGTGTCCGGAGGCATTACATTTGATTCAAAAGGAACAACGAACGACAATCGAAGTGCATATTTAATGCAGCAGGATGTCTTAATATCCACCCTAACAGTGCGGGAAACACTTCAGTATTCCGCAGACTTGAGGTTGCCGCCGCCTACGACTGTGGAAGAGCGACATGCTGTGGTTGAACGAGTAATACTTGAGCTGGGCTTGAAAGAGTGTGCTGATACCAGGATTGGTAACTCATCACACAAAGGATGCAGTGGTGGCGAGAGGAGGCGTACAAGCATTGGGGTCCAGATGCTAGGAAATCCTTCAGTTCTGTTCTGCGATGAGCCGACAACAGGGCTAGATGCAACGAGTGCCTACCAGGTTGTTAGAAGCCTGAAGCGATTAGCTTTGGATGGCCGGACCATCATCATTTCCATTCACTCTCCTCGCTCGGAGATCTGGGGTCTGTTCGATAAAGTTGTCCTTCTCTCCCGTGGATCAGTACTTTATAGCGGCGATGCAGACAAATCTGTTGTATACTTTGAGAAACAGGGATATTCTATACCCCCTTTCGTTAACCCTGCGGAGTTCTTGATAGACTTGGCGGCATACGACAACAGGACGCCTGAGGCTGAATTAGCTTCGCGGGACAGGGTTGAGAGCCTTAGAATAGCGTGGAGTGAAGCTTCGGGAAAGAAACCCAAGAAAAGAGAACCGACCTCGTCGAATAGGCAGCCTATCACTGGCAGGAGCACACATGAAAGTGTTGGCTTTACTAGACAATTTTGGGTCCTGACCGCGAGGACTATTAAAATGACTATTAGAGACCCTATGGGAATGACAAGTTGTCTATTCGAGGCAATTGGCATGGCTGTTCTGAATGGCTGGGTATATTTGCAGCTTGATGGGTCCCTTACAGGTATCCGATCGCGGCAAGGAAGTTTATACACAGCAAGCAGTCTCAATGGGTATATCATCCTACTTTACGAAATTTTCCGGCTCACGACTGATATACAACTCTTTGATCGTGAAAGGAGCGAAGGAGTCGTCGGTGTCCCTGCATTTTTGCTTAGCCGACGGGCCGCAAGACTGTTTTTAGAGGATCTGCCAGTGCCTATTCTATTTTCAACCATATTCTACTTTATGGTTGGATACCGACTGGCGGCTGCCGAATTCTTTGTTTTCCTGGTACTAAATATACTTACGCAGTATACGGCAATTACCTTTGCTGCTGTCTGTATAAGTATTTGTAGACACTTTCCCGGGGCGAGTTTGGCTGGAAACCTGTCTTATACCCTTCAGACGGTAGCCTGCGGATACTTTGTTCAAATCAATCAGATTCCAGTATACGTCCGATGGGTAAAATGGGGTGCCTATACCTTTTATGCGTTTAGTGCGTTATGCGCGAACGAATTCATTGGACCTAACGGCTCTGAGTATGGGCAGTTCTATGACTGTCCTTACTCAAAAGACCCTATGGATCCTCACTGCAAAGAATATACTGGCCGATTTATAGTGGACAGCCTTGGGATACCTCAAAATTGGATTTGGCGTCCGATTGTGGTCCTTGCTTCTTTTGCAGTCTTCTTTTATGCACTTGCTGGTGTGATTTTGAAATTCAACAAAATTGATATTATTGTTGCTCAACCACGGAATGCGGAAAAAGATCACTCAGTAGGCAAAGAGAAATTTATCGCCCGTCCTCAAGCAGATAGTCGCCAGGTATCTATCAAGCTTGAGAACTATTCCTTGGACATCAAAAAGCGCTTCCTTACTCGCCATGGATTTCAGATGAAGAACCTGAGTATTATCAAGCCTATCACCGCGGAGTTCGAACCGGGCAAACTGAACGTCATCATGGGCCCTTCTGGCAGTGGTAAGACGTCACTGCTTTGCTCAATCGCAAATCGGTTACAGGGATCTATCGGCACGCGATACTATGTTGGAGGTGATATGTTATACAACGGTGCGAAGCCTTCAAGGGATGTCATTAGATCCGTTACTTCCTTTGTCACACAAGATGACGACGCCTTGATGCCTTCGTTAACTGTCCGAGAATCACTGGAGTTTGCTGCCGGGTTACGTTTACCGACGTGGATGTCGAAGGATGAGAAGAACCGACGAGCAGAGGCAATCTTGTTGAAGATGGGCTTGAAAGACTGTGCAAATAACCTGATCGGAAGTGACTTGATTAAAGGAATTAGTGGGGGTGAAAAGAGGAGAGTTTCCATTGCTATTCAGATTCTTACGGACCCGAAAATTCTACTACTTGACGAACCGACGTCAGGCTTGGATGTCTTCACTGCTACATCCATCATTGAAGTCTTAAACGGGTTGGCAGCGGAAGGTCGGACCCTTATTTTGACAATCCACCAGTCAAGGTCGGATATATTTCAATATTTCTCTAACGTCCTTTTGATAGCAAGAGGGGGATATCCAGTTTATGCTGGCAGTGGCCCAAATATGCTACCTCACTTTGAGTCACTTGGATACGAATGTCCTCGAACTACCAACCCAACTGATTTTGCCCTTGACCTCATTACTGTGGACTTACAGGCAAAATCAAGAGAGACTGCTACTCGTGCCAAAGTACAACGTCTGATCGATAGCTGGGAAGTTAGTCCTCATGAAGGTAGAGAAACAGAGGCATCCATGATTGCAGTGCCAGCGGAATTGGGTAGCCTGAAAAGAAAGCCTACTGCGTTTCCTACTATGTTTGCACTAGTTCTTCGAAGGTCGGCAATCAACTTAAGAAGACAGCCATATCTCCTTCTGGCACGTACTATGCAGGTAATTGGTGTTGCAATAATCATGGCATTGTTTTTTGCGCCACTGAAAGATGACTATGCGGCTGTACAGTCAAGAATGGGTGCCGTGCAACAGATTACAGCCTTATACTTCGTTGGTAAGTTTGCTGGTGTCGTCCTAGCTAAACATCATCACTGATGTTCAATGTAGGAATGCTTCAAAACATTGCCATTTACCCCTATGAACGCGACGTGTTCTATCGCGAGGAAAGTGACGACTGCTATTCCACGGAAGCATTTATCTTACAATATACCACACTGGAGGTCCCATTCGAAATAATCTCGGCACTATTATATGGTATCATCTCTGCCTATGCTATTGGTGTTAAGCGGACTGTGACCATGCTATTTGTCTCATCATTCAACGCCTTCTGCATTACCAGTTGCGGGGAATCACTCGGAATTATGTTTTGCACTCTCTTCTCCCACGTGGGGTTTTCGGTCAATATTACCTCCATTGTGCTATCTATAGCAACAGTCCTGGGTGGCGTTATGAGCCTTAATATTCCCTCGGTTTTGCAGGCTGTAAACCATCTTTCCCCGGTTAAATACTCTATTTCCAACTTGGCACCTTACTCAATGCATGGACGCACATTTATCTGCGCTGACAATCAACGTCTCCCCAATGGGCATTGTCCAATTGAGACAGGCGAGCAAGTGTTGTCGCTCTACAATTTAGACAAGGACCCAAAGATCAACCTTGTGGCCCTTGGAATATGTGTGGTCAGCTATAGACTGGTTGCATATACATTAATTAAGGTCGTTCGAAGCCGTACAGTTTGGAAAAATTTGCGGGGAAGATTGTCAAAAGCCCAGAGGAACACAAAGGACACTGCAAAGGATAGCAAGAGAACGTAGTTTTTGTATATGTTAAATATCGGTACATATAGTAATGAGTTAGCTACTTATTGAGTATTAAGATTCGATGATGAAACCGAAAGCCTTCGCCATGAATATTTTGCCCATCATCTCCATATTTGATATATGGTAGCAAATGGGTGTAGATTGCGCCGTCCAAGTGTTCGAGAGGCAACCCTTTTAAGGTTTCATTTTATGGAGTATGGTGCGTGCTTTCTCCACGTGGGAAATGCTTAAGTAAAACTTTAAACATGTGGAGGGGCAACCCTGCCTTTCTACTTTGAGCTGGAATCAGAAATGGTTTTTTGGACCGTCCGCGGACGATTTGATTGTGTTTCTATATACAACATCACCTCCTCTAGCCAAAACTCCTTTACATATTGACTTTCTGTCTGTATAGCTGATCCGGCCGGAATCAGGAAACACAAAACCAAAACCAACAAAATATAGCTCATGGTGTGATGAAAGGGTATATATGTATGTTTTTTTTATGCAGAACGTAACGAAATCCCATCTAGAAAATCAAAAACACCAAAGCCTTTTGTAGTCATGATCATCGTCGTTTTTTTAAGTCGTGCAGTGGTGAGATGTTCAATTTACTCTGGGCGAGCATGTGGGTGGCGAGGGCGGTTGGCAGCCTTCTCCTGGACAGGCTTGAACATCTTCTTGGGGCCGGCAGAGCCACCACCAGCACAGAGCACAACATTGAGGTCAGTCTCCTGAGGACAGCCGTGAGTAGCGTGGTCATCCTTGGGCTGGTTGTAGGCCTCCTTGCACTCCTTGACTCCTCCCTCACAGACGACTGCGGGACAGCTGGAGTCGGATGGGTGGATGCTGACGCCACCCTCCACGAATGGGTAGCCATCGATGTTGGATAGATCGTAGAAGACTTGAGGCTCTGAGACTGTGTACTCAAACTGCGAAATATCCTTGTGGTCCGGGTTGGTGGCCATCTTGATGGAGATGCCACCCCCATTGCTGTTGGCGCGGTATTGCTCGGAGTGAGTTTCGCCGTCCTTGAGGGTGATCATCTTCTCTCCAGCAGAGTCAGCGATGGACCAGAGGTAGACATCTTTCCCGCAGGCGTTCTGAACGTTGGCAGTGCCAAGGTTTCCACCAGCAAGAGCAGCTGGGACGAGAGCTGCGAGGGCAGAAAGGGCGATGACAGCAGTGTTGGAATGCATTTTGATTTTCAAAAATGGAATTTGGTCAAAAATGAAAAATGAAATATAGTGAGTGTCTATAAGAGCTCTTAAAGGATTGTAAAAGGGCGTAAAGAATGACCCTTTAAAAATGTATATATCAGTTGAGATCAGAAAGAATGTGATGGGGAAGAAAAAAAGAGAAGGAGGACTTGGGGAGAGGGGGCTCAAGGGGTATTTATAGATAAGTCCCCCACATACAAATGGTTCGGCATGGCGAAGATGTTCTTGGGGTACGGTCTAGAAACCATTCGAATTCCAGCATTGTCCACCAATATAATTGAGTACCCAGACTTGTGATTGGTTACGAGATATTCTTGCCACGGGCGTGATTTGTTCCAAAGAACTTATATTGGTGGGGAAAGTTCAGGAACAAGGGGTGCGGTCTTTTGATATTGGTGGGATTGAAAATATAGAAGATAAAAATTGAGCCAAAAGGAAGCCAAGGCCGGGAGTATTCCAATGTGTTTTCAACACTACCATGGTTCTAGATCTTGGTGGAGTATGACGCTTCTGGTGGTGGCGGGAGAAAGAGATATTTGTAACCACAGACCACTCCTCGGATCTCTTCCTGGAATGGGGGACGGAATTCCCCCTTGCTAGCTGACTACAGCATATGAGAAGCATCAAGTAGGGAATAGATAATACCATGTTTTCCATGCCTCGGCAGGGGTTGCTGGTAGATGCCTGGAACCCAGAACTATCCGTAAATGTGGATCACTTGAATGGACGAGGTGTGTGTGGATTCAGCAACACAAAGGCATTCTTTAACACCTGTTTCCCGGATCTAGGCACCAAATAAGGGGTAACGACGACTTTATTTCAGATTATCTGCTGTGCCATGGTAAGAAAAAGCTTTTTTTTCCATTTGACTATCGAAGTGCATAAATTGTGGTCTTTGTATACGGCTTTATTACCTTCGTTGCCATATACACGGTGTATAAAGAAAACAATCAAGCGGGTGCTGCCCCAGAAGCCGTATCTCGCGGCTGTCGGTGCGTGGCGGGTATGATGGCCCCTCTATGGGAAGGCCTTTGCGAGCCCACAAAGGGGCCCATATCGTCTCTTTAGACTGAATGTCTAGGCCTTCATAACTATTCAAGGCATCCCTTGTTTCAGGGCCGGCCGTCTCGTATTGCCGTGGGTGGTGGGGTTTCGACTATGAACCCCCACCCCCGGTTAGGCAGCATAGATTCTCTGAGATGCAAAGGCAATCCAGAAGTGTGGCATACGTATGCCCCTTATCCACCTGCTTTTTCTTTCCTTGTCTGCCGAAAGCTTCCAAGCTTTTCGTTGAGGTCTTTGATGCATCAAACTTTTTCCGCGATGTGTCAGGATTTCCACAAGTTATGTACATTATTACATAAGCAACAGGCCTCGGAGTTCTGCCGCGGCTGACGGAAAATACGATCCGGATGCTGCTTGCCATCATCTCGCGGCCAGAACGGGGCTAGAACGTCGTGCAGTGGGAATGGCATCTTACGAGGTTGAAATACACTGAAAGGCAGGTGAGCAAATGAAGCTTGGGGGAAGCAGTGTGAGTCACGAAATTCGTCGTATGTATAGCTAAGTAGGCACAGTAAATGGACAATTTTCTCTGGACGATACCCGGATATATGGCAAGACAGCTACCAGTAGGACGGCCGTAGTCCTGCCAATCCAGACAAAGTGCTTTCCACTCCGGCACCGACAGCACCTGCGACGGAGCCATCCTCTTTCTTACGATGGCCACCGAGCTCGATGTTGATTTGCCGGTGCAGATGAACCAGCCAATCAACATAACTCTGTGCCTCATTGTTTCTGTCCTCCAATAGCATTCGCGCAAATTCATATTCAGACCCATCGATACCTTGTCTCGCCAGTTGGATAGTCATGGCCTTTGAGCCACGGACTGTACTTAGGTATTGCAGGATATTGCGTACCTGAGCGTTGAGCTGTGTTTCTAGAACCGGGATAGTGGACGTATTCGGATCGAGAGATTTAAGGGAGTTGTAGCCTGGGCCGAAAAGGTCTTCGAGAAGGTTAGGGGACACGAGTGCGTGAATCCAAAGGATACATATTTGTCCATTTTCCACAATATAGACCCCTCCGTCTTCGATTTTTGAGAATGATGCTCGCTGGCTTGGCGGCACTTGTAACTGCCCATGCTCGTTAGAGAACCCATCCTTGGGGTCTAAGTTGTGGATTGGAATAATCCGTGGGTATAGATAGAGAGAAAGCTCCCGGCATCCAAAGGAGCGAAGCATTCGAACATCATGGATACGACGGTCCGAGGGCTCATGGCCTCCTGTTGAGACACGAGTATATTTGTTAATCGCCTTGAAAAGCCCTGATATACGTTTGGTGTAGGGTTGTGTTGCTTACCTTTAAAGGCACGAGACTTTAGCAAGCTTAGCATATACATTGAAAACTCCTGTATATATTCAGGCAACACCAGTTGGCCTGGGGGATGTGACAATGAAAAGTTCTTGCGGTAGCTTGCTAGAATATCAATACTCTTCTCTGTTAAACTAGCCCGGATTTCTGATAGGGCCTTTTCAGGAACCTTGGAGGCAGCTAACCGTGGCACGTTAGCAACAACAACACTCACCAAGAGAAAAATGAAGATTTGCCTACCTTCTTTCGCAAGAATGGAAACAATGGCATCCTGATCAAGAGATTTCATGGTCTCCATTCCACCATCGTTGACACCAGCTACGATGTTTATACACCTAACACGTCGCTGTCCATTGCCAGCAGTATAGAGAAGGGCTGCCTGGAAATGGGCATCCAGTTTAGGGTCAAGTTTACCATCATAGGTGAACATGATACCGAATGCTTTATCTGCATCGATACTTCCCATTTCAAGGTCTGAGGCAAATGTATGCTGAAGGAAGTTTCCATGGTATGACGAGATCTGGAGGCCATTTGAGCAACGGACTTTCAGAAGAGCCTGATAACCAGTTTCTCGGGTAATGGAATGACATATTTCCTTGGAGAGTTTCTGGATATCGCGAGGAGCATGGAAATTAGGGTAAAAAAACATTTCACCTCCAGCAACAGCGGATACGTGTCCTAATACAATGAGTTTCCTTATCTAAAACAAAGATAGACGGTGTAAAATCGACTTACCTATCGTTGCGATGTCCATATAAGCCCCACCACCAGCTGCTATGAAGAAATCTACACCAATTCCAGTCTCTGCTGCCTTTGTAGCTGTTTTCTTCCACTCGACATGCTCAGTAGTAAAAAGTTTTCGTTCAGCATCGGTTCCAGGGCCCATCCCTTGATCTCTCATAAAGAGACGCCCAGGGCCCCAGGTGGGAAGGCAGCTTAATGAACAAACAATCTTTCCTCCGGTCGACTCCAAGGCGCATAAAGCGGAGTTTAATGTGGGGAGAAGGGCTGGCTCTGGGTACTTAATGAACGAAAATAGAGTGGGTATTTGTGTCAAGAGTGAGGATATGACATGCCTGAGATGCTGTTAGTTTTTGATACAACTGTTGAAACGAATAGAATAAACGAACTTTGACTCATATGGATCGGCAAACAATCCCTCACTCAAAGGAACGAACGGGTCCTCCAAATCCGGCATAACAATCATTTGTGCTTGTTCTAACTGGGGCTATAGTTATCAAAGTTAGCTTCGAAATTTTGTTTCAGGACAGCACTAGGAACTTGAGATCACATACACTCAGATTGTAAAAATGGACCTCCTTATCAAAAGTTATGATTCCGATCTTAGATCCCTCTGGTAGATTCCTACGGGGTTTGGATTCACCATCTTCCGTACTTTCAGGTTCCTCTCCATCGCCGTCTGATCCGTACAGGGCAGACAACAAACCATCACAACATGCCTCTAAAAATCCTCGTGATACAGCCTCCTGAGAAACATCCAGAAGGAACAGCCAACGCAAGCCCACGGGTTCTTTATTCCAGTATTCCTTGGGGACCAAAAATTCAACAGTTCCCTGCATCAATTCTGGGCGATGTATCCGATCCACACGTACACCTGAAGGGTCAAGTGGTGCATAGTACTCAGGAGCAACTTCGTTGGGAAATGTACACATGTTGCAAATGAACTTATTTCCGCCAGATCGAAACGTCATAAACGGATTAATGTAAGCCCTGCATCTTCGACATCGAGGGGGTCCAGAATCTCCGAAGTCCAAAACAGGGACTGGTTGCTCTGCCTCATCGAGCGGAGCAAGGGGTTGCAGTATAAGGCCTAACGGCAGCGAGGTTGAAGCAAGTGCCTCCGCGGTAGAAGGGATATTGTTGATGGTCAGTCGAGCAAACTTTGGCGACGAGTTGCCTTGATCATGGGCAACGAATGGAACAGTGGATGGTGGCGGTACGTGCCGTTCCATAGTTGGGTAGGTATGTTCGAGGTAATATTGAGCAGGAACATCGCGAGACCGTGGAACACTGGGTATCTGCTCTGGGTCAACCCTGCCCTGAGTTGGTACAGCGCCGTCTCCGACGACGCTGGAGTTCCTTTGCTGTTGCACCTGAGGAGAGCCGAATCCACCATGTGGAGGAGCTACCTGAGGGCTTTGTTGGTTGAGAAATTGTGATGGTTGCTGGGTAGAGCCTGGAGGCATGCCATTAAACGCTTGGGACGATCCTGCTGGGGCTCCAAACTCATGATACGCATGTCTATCTTTCTTCTTATGCGCCCTGGTGGTTCCACCAGCGGAACTTGGTGGCCCTCCTCCAGCAATTCCTAGTCCGCCCATCTGAGCAGTTAAATTGTGCATTCCTGATTGCATATCGGCTGGAGACTGAACATTCCCCTGGGGCGATGGGTAGCCCGCCGAAGATGGAGGATACGGGGAGGATTGCGTGAAACCGTGAGGGTGCTGGTATGTCTGTTGAGGAGCACCTCCACTCTGCATGTATCCCGATGGCGGCTGTGCAACCGGAGGAACAAACTGAGGAGCTGCAGGCCCAGTCCGTATTTGCGATTTCATTCTCTCATCGCCTGGCATGGCGCCGTCACCTAGGTTATGATACATCGAGAAGTCGGCCATTTTGGTAGCTCCCTCCACGCGTAAGGAGGGGAATCGGGAGGGCAGTCTGGGATGGGCAGGCGTAACGATATATCTGCTGCGGCGTTTCCGCGGTCAAAATTGCGCTATATCATAACAATTCATATCTCAATTGAGTCGTAACAAGGACAGCAACTCCGCTTTCTCGTAGTATGGAAACTCCGTCGTCAAAACTGACCAGATCGTTCAATCCCGTCTCCAGTTCAGGACAGATTCTCGGTGACGGAGTTTCTATTTTGCCAGGGAAGGCTTCCAGCACGTGATTGCTAACTGGCCCGGACTTGCGACTACCTGCGTCGCGCCTGATATATTGCCTTTCTATCCCTTCTTACGGCCGGACTTAATTTCGATGAATATCCCATTTGAATAATATTTAAAAAAGATATATCAGCCCGAAAATTAAATACCCCTTTGCCTGCGGCCACATAACCAGTACGCAAACCTCTGTTCCAAAAGCCAGAAAAGAGGAGATAGAAGCATCATTACGGTCAAGGACGGTATAACAATAAAACCATAGTGTACCGGCCACTAGAAATGGATTCCGAGATATTTACGCGATTGTCAACGAGTCTGTATGCCGTTGATTTGCCAAATAGATATGATAGAGATATTTCGCAAGAATCGTGGATTAACTATATCCTTTCAGGCACCAAAGCTGCCATACAGCCCAGTATCAAAATCCTCCGAAGGGACTTCTTCAAGGAGTTCCTTAGTACGGGGGCCAGTGTACCGTCTAGTGATTGTTAGCCAGATAAAGTTGTCAATTCTCAAGAGGGAAAGTGAATGTCCTACCTTCTGGCCGATAACCACCACCACGAAAGCGCGAAAAGTGCAATAAAAGTCACTACAACGCTAGCATAATTCCTAGGTTTCAAGTCAGCTTCTATACCGGTACCAGAGGGTAAGCTTGGGGTTTCATACATGTTCTGTGGCGTTACGGGTTGAATTGGGGGGAAGAACAGGACAATGCTGATAAAGAGCACCCAACTAATGGAAATCCAATTTATGGTAGCCCCCCAACTCCCTAGGGTAAAGGGACCTTCGATGAATTTCACCTTATTCTTGTACAGACGGTGGGCTAAAATGACGCCGATGTAGGAGAGGTCCAAACATGGGGCAGTGATGCTGAAGATCGATGATGCGGTTTCAGTAGAGCCTATGGCGATACAGTTGAGGCAGACGGAAAAGAAAACGACAAACCACACCGCATTTACTGGGGTGAGGGTATATGGGTTTACTTTTGCCAAAGCTCTGTTATATGTTGTTTGTTAGTGACTCCCTCTCATTACAGTCAATGACGCACTTCCTTACTTTGAAAATGGCAAAGCGTCGTCACGAGCAAAAGCGTATGCCATTCGGGTGTCTGCTAACATAGCAGAGCAACCCGTGAAAAACTGTACCAGGACAGCAAATGACCACATGATTGTTCCGCCTGTTTTACCTCCAGCGTCTAGGAAGATCTGTGCAGCTGGGAGCCCGGTTGGTGACTTGAGAACAGCCTCAAGGTCAGTTATACAGAAGCACATGGTGACAGTTAGCATCCATCCAAAGGCTCCAAATACTACCACCGCAGTTTGGATTGCAACTGGACCTCTGACAGCAGCGTCATGGGTTTCCTCTGACATACTGTTCAAAATACAGTTAGAAAACACCTACTCAGCGAGTTTGCAGCATCTTTCAAGTAAATAGGCATCTTACTGAGTAGTTCCATCAAAGTCTGTCATCGTCCAAGCAACGGCGATGAAACCAAGAAGAAAAGAGAAAGCCTTTGAGTGCCATCCTGATCCATCGGTAACATTGGTGAACACCCAATGGGCTGACTGTTTGTTTGGGGTAAGAACAAGGAGAGCAATGCATATCCCAATTGATGCGAGGACTACACACGTCAGTTTTATATTCAAAAATTAAAACGCGGAGGGTGGTATATTGCATCACATACTGTTAATTGGTGCAAACCAAAGAATGATTCGATGCAAACTCTTTGTTGTTAAAGAGCAGATGATACCCATTATGCAAAGAAGGGCAATCGAAAGAAGAACAGTCTGAAGGGCAGTCCTATTGTACACTCCATCAATTGTTTTGTTCCTAATATAACGGAGCCGATGTACGGATGCCCTCAGCACATAAAACAACTTACGGTTTAAAAGAATAATTTCCGTCATCATCCAGATTCGAGTTCATACTCGCAGCAGCCAGTAACATCTGGCTTACTGTGTATGCAACACTCGAAACACCAGCGGTCTGGCCTAGCAAATTGCACCAGCCTTGAATCCACGCAAATATTGGGACTTGCTCTTTCGGGACTACATGTTTAGTCACAAAATACATCCCACCTGCTGTAGGATAAGCAGAAACCAGCTCTGCAACCGACGAGCCAATGCACATTGCCATTACTGATCCGATTAACCAGCACCATACGGCCGTTGCAGGTCCTCCTGCACTGAGTGGTTGACCAAAGGTCGCCGGCACAGACCCTAACACCCCCAATATCGAAATGGCATAGGATATTGTTGACCATTTTGAGAACTCACGTCTCATTTCCTGAAAAAAATCATGTTAGGCCAGAAAGTCACACTTTAGTTTCTTGACAGGTCTACCCTGCACTCCCCCAGCTATTGTTTCATTGACATGTCGAAAGAAAAGTCGCTCCGTACTTGTTTATACCCGATCCTGGCCAATAGCCGCTCGTCGTCATCCTGAATCGTTGCCATCGAGGAAGAATTAACAGTGCTGATTCCTTTATCAGCTATTTTTTTGTCACCAGATCCTTTACGATCTTGCTTGGGTGGTGTCTGAAAAGCAGTTGTTAGGTTCGAATTCATCATGACAACGATTTATTTTTTCTTTGGGCCAGTGGTTTATAAGCGCATTGCGCCGGGTATATCGTCTAGTTTCTGCAGAGGTTTGTATATTCTGACAGGACCAAAACGAAATATGAGTAAGTGTAGAAAATTCTTCGTGAAAAAAATCCTTGTGACGATTTATTCCCTCGACATGTGGAATAGTTATACAGATGTGGAGTGGTAAAAGATATGAAAGAATGTGGAATCAGTGATAAGGGAAAGCTCCCCGCTTCCCCCGGGAAATTGAGAAGACGAAGAAGTGCTAATCCCGGGTACAGGCTTGATTCAAATAGAATCCAACGTACCTCTGGGTGGATCAGTGACCTGCGGGCTCTCCGGGCCTTGATCCCTGCCTGTTCCCGCTCCCTCTTTAACGGTGGCACACCCGGGAAAGGGCTGATCAAGCTTACTCCAAGGAAAGACAAAAACCGCCCCAGGCAATCAACCAGGCCGGCGGGGATAAGTCTTACTTGCGAGTATCTTCCAGAAACAGGGCTGATAACATTAAAGCTTCTACCGGAGCCAGCAAAGTTCGAATGAATAAAGGTATACTTCAGCACAGCACAGCTAACATTGCCTGGGCGTTGGGTAAGTTGCTTTGCCTTCTGCGAACAGTTAGAAGGTTTGACAGGAAGGGCCTGTCTATTTTGGCAACCAACTGTTATACAGCAGATGTATTGAGCAAACGTGTGACCGAATGGTTGAGCGATACCTCTAGAACACCGAGCTAGTCATACCAACCCCCCAGGTAAATGTAGAATACTCACTCGGTTAGAGAGAAGCCGCCCAGGAAATTTGGATATGCTGTTCACAAAGCCATGATCCCCTTGTAACTTGGCCTGGTCAACGTTGTAGGGTGCAGCAAAGTTAAAAAAAAAAAAAAAAAAAAAAAAAAGTCAACCAGATTACCGGATATTCCCTGGTCATTTGTCGGCCTCCCTCTGCCGTTTTTCTTGGAGAAAATAGCCACGGGGTATATATTGACCAGATGTGTTGTTGACGGAGAAGAGACAAAGCTTGAGCGAGCATGCGCCCAGCGACGCCATGGGACTCCATCCTGTCCATGGGCGCCGGGGAAGAGAAGCCAGACAGCCAACTGTCCGTCTGCTTAAAAAGTTGTACTTGCGTTCAGTTTGAAACGGACGAGATAGATGTGCCATCTCCAACACGTGGGCCAAGGGTACAATTTTAGGACGTCAACGTTTTCGTGGCTTGATATAAAAGCCGGAACTATCCCTGCTAGTCGACCAGTTAGTATATCCGCGCGGAAGGTCAGCCAAGATAAGTATGTCATCGAAACTCGAAACAACCTTCCGTTGTACTCCGTATAGCGAATTGATACTGTCTTTGAGGTCGGACGTTTGTTCCAAACTTCCCTATCGCTGCCATGATTATCTGTTCTTTAGGATCACTTAACCAGGTACGGTACGCATAAGCCAATCATGCGCTGCCTTGAGGATCATTTGGATAAGAGAATGAGAATGACGTGTTGGAGATAACTAATTAACTAACTAACTAACGAGTTAGTTAGCGCAGAAACAAATCTCCACATGCACTCACATTCTGGGAAAGCTGCTATCTTGCTGCTCTCCAGGAGGGCTACCTCTTTGATAACTAACTTGTTGGGAGGGAAGACGGAAAATAAACTTTTAGAGTTTACCACATCCGATTGGAGGAACCGAGTCTTTTACCATTTTGTCGAATGGGGGGAACTCGTCTACTCGGATAATTTAGATCGGACCTCGAAAGAGTCGGGAGTTGAGTTAATAAAAACACCTGCGGTTTTTGCGTGTCAAGATTTAGGAGAAATTCAATGATTGCTATACAGAAGTGAAATCCCTAATTTGCTACCAAATATACAAGCGTACAAATGAAAATGGACTGACTGCTAGTGTGCTGATACCCAAAACCAAAAATCGACAAAATAAACCAAAAATGTCAAGCGATGGTACATGGACTGGAGCGCCGCTGCTCGTTATACATAGACCGGATTCAATTTCAAAACTGCACATGACGCTGCTCATAAGCCTTTCTCTCCTCCTCGATCATCTCAATTGCGTCTGCCAGGTCTCCATTAGCAGCCTCGGCGAATATACGGAGCCTATTAGCATCTTGAGATCTATCGTCGCCGAAACCCAAGGCTCTCAATTGTGATAGACAGAGTTCTGTTGAGTCGTTTGATGATGCTTCAATTACAGCTGCCGTCGGAGCTTCGCGGGGGAAGGTTCCAGGAAGGTCCGAAGGGTTTTCACAGGCAGCGCTAATCTCTGCTAATTCATGGCTGCTAAGAGGTCTTTGTGGGTAAGGGTTATTTCCGAAAAGGCTTGGGCGCGGTCTCCGCACACGTTCCGTTGCACTTCGACGCAGCCCAGGCACGTTTGACGCCAGAAATGGGGATGCGCGGTGTGGATTGAATGGGCTGGAAAGATCCGATAATACTGGGGGATTGATGTGGCTTGGGCCATGAGAGGTGTCATGTTCGCTTCGACTTTCATTAGCATTGGGCCTTGAAGGTATGCTGCTCTGGCTATCTTGGTCCCATGGCCATGATCCTGGGATTCGACTAGGAACTGGAGGTGCTAACTGTTCTCCAGTGCTAGCAAGGTTAATGTTATTTTCATAGGTAGTGCGAGGCCTGGGGGCTGGCCGATCCGGGGTTGGCCAAGGGCCGTGCATAAAAAGATGCTGCTGTTCGAGCTGTTGCATCGAAGGGTACCGACTCAGTCCGCAGCCATCGTCGTTAAGAGCAGAAAGGAGACTAGCCCCAGGGTATGTATCGGGTGGTGTTGGCCTTGTGCTGAGATTGTCGGTACTTTGAGATGCAAAGAGTGGCGGATATCGTTCGGCAAGGTTTGCCTCGGATTTATCAAGTAATGCGGTGTTTGGTTGTGTTTGAGTATTGCCGTGCACCTCAGGAATTGGGATAGCGGCTTGCTCACATAGGGATGACGTTGGAAAATTTTGCTCCGAAGGTACGATATTGCTAGTATCATTATCTAGTTCACTCACTGGAACGAACGATGGAAAACCGGGCCTCCTGGTATTAGTTGTCAAGGGTGGAAGTTCGGGGGTAGGGTGTTGGATACCAGTGCCAGACGACTCGGCGGCATTGCTTGACTCTGGGAGTGAATGCTCATTTGCGGGCTCAACGTTAATGGTATAGTCACCAATGAGTTTTCCTCGAAGCGCTTGTAGTGCTGCATCCGCAGCGTAGGTAGAAGGGAAATGAACATAACAGAAGCCGGCATGCTCGCCTGTTAGACTATCTCTGGGAAACGTCACAGTCCCGACGAACCCCTGGCTTGCAAGCACAGAAATAACTGAATTCTCTGTGGCGTCTGGAGGTAGGTTACCGATAAAGATGTCTTTTGTTGCAGGATTAACTGTTTCAGGAGCTGACGATGCGTCCGTCGTGCCTTTGTTAGCACTGTTATCCCGTGGCTTGAGACTTTTCTCAACACCTGCAATGAGTGAACCGCCGATATCCCGTATGTCGGATGCAAGAATCCGCAAATTATTCAGCTGAGCAGTAACCACTTTCTCTGCTTCGCTGGTTGCAATTGAGGATGACCTTGCCGATGTAGCGGCCTGTTGCATAGCTCCTGCTAAAGTTTGAATATGGCCCCCCATGACCTGCAGGGTTTCGTGGATGGTTGCTTGCATCTGATCGGGGATCTGATGATGTAAGTCTGTAACTCTCTGCTCAACCTCAGGCAACCTGTCTGCTAACTCGGCTGTAAGGATGGATACTCGAGATAGGAGGGATTGGAAAGACTTTCCAAAGACTGTAACAATATGAGATATCGCTTCCGAGGCCTCTGTAGCCTGGCGTGAAGTCGGCTGAGCATTATTGTTCTCTGACGGCCCTATTTCCGGCCCTTGCACGGCTGTAGAGGCTGAGTCGGAAGTGGATTCCTTAGCTGTTGCTGCTGCTGGCTCATCAATAGGCTTAGGATGTGACTCCAATCCTGAGTTTTGTGCCATGAGCCGGGATAGCTCTGCTTCAAACTCTGATAAGAGTGGTTTGGGGGATGCTTCAATGGGGGATTCTGGGCTATCAGGCTCCCTTTCTCTTATGCTAGGGGAAGGTCCAGAAAATTGATGAGTTGGTTTGTAGGTGCTCCAGAAATCTCCAGAAGTACCAGTCGTATGGCCTTCTTCTAGTTCTGGACGATACGAGCCACGCCAGTATGCCTTATAAATTTCGCGCATACGTTTCCCAGCAGCATACGCCTTAAGAGTGTTAGTTTGTCCACGTCTAATTGATATCTGGAATAGGCAATATACCTGCTTCTTCCCCTCTTCAGTGATAAACTTCCTTTCCGTCGAGACACCTTCACCAAATGATTCAAGCTCCGTATCATGGTTTGGACCATTCCATATACCAGATGATGTGTCCTTCATAGGATACTGTTTATTACTTCCCATATTCGCTACTGCACCTAAACAGCATTCATGCTGTCCTGAAGGGGCGCTCTCATTCAGGGTATCTGCTTGAACAACAGATGGTTTGTTTGTAGCGTATGGGGGATCTGGGGACCCAGTCTTCAGGCAGTAACTCGCATTTGAGCGATAACCAGTGCTTGGGGATATTAGCTGACAGGACGGTTGCCCCGAGATACTGTTGGTCACAGTTCTCAAACGAAAGTTTCGCCAAACGTCTACCACTGGCAGAGTTTGTTGGATCTCAAATGTATGCATAACAGGGTCATTTTCAGCGTTGAGTTTGCTCAAAGGCAGGCGATAGCTATTTGGTAGAAGTTCACCAATAAGCTGCGAAAGTTCTAATGATGAGCCGACCTAATAATAATAGCATCATCCAGAGTCAGTACAAAAAAGTGCAGAAGGAGGAGAAATGTTAGATATAAAGGAGCTACTTACAATCACGGTTTCGCCATCATCCTCATCCTGATATTGAAGTCTGGCTTCCGGAATTTGCTCTATGGTCCGGTCATACTCGTTTGCGGTGACCTGGACTACTCCATCGCCTTGGACTTCGAACTCCGCCCTATACTGGTTATCCGGACTTAGGATCGAAGCACTATCAGACTCGAGACCATCATCGTTTCTAGAACGGCGTCGCCGGTGTAAGGGGTGTCCAACGATGCCCTTTATACGAAATGGTGGTAGCATCTTGAATTCCAAAAGCTATGTCGGGACGGCGGTTTGCCAAAGGAATAGTAGTGACGCCCTGGAGATGGGAACATTAACAAAATAAATGCGACGGATATACTGCAGCCTGGAAGAAAGTACTAGCGCATGTATCTCAACTCAAATCAACGATACGCAGGGGTGATGTTAACGGGCTGCCTGGTCCAGCCAACGAGGAGAATCTGACTGCCTGTTCTGTATGCGTGGGCTGGGGCGAATTCACGCCACCACTCTGCCGGAGTATCTCGCCCTGCAGGCTTCACCGGAGGCTTACGTAGCTGTACGCAACGGCACGGCAGCGAAGCAGTGTTCGACGCCTGTACGGAGTATCATGTGCAAAGTAACCGATGTAGATGTTGGATGCCCGCCGTTGCCAGGCAGCAGCAATACCGGGGCGCAAGTTATGTCGGTGTCGTCGTTCCCCCATATACGAGAAGCGACTCCGACGAAGTTCAAGTTTCTTTTCTTTTTTTAAGGCGGAGCAAAAGTCTAAAGTCCCCCAGTTCGTCATAAGTACCTAATTAGTCATTCATTAGTCATTAACATTCGGATATACTTATTACCGAGGACGAGAAGCTCTCACGTGACTACAAGATGCTTCCAGTTGGAAGGTTTGGCTGCCCGATTGGGGAAGAAGGCGAGGATGGACAAACAGTCAAGACGTACAACAAGTCAACAAAGCCGAGACAGAGGCTGAAACTGCGCCGCGACTCCTCGAGAGAAAGAAACTCCTCTTGTCCGTCGCCTTACTTCGCTCGCCAAGTCCTGCCTGATGCGCACCTAGGTGACCGCGAATAATACGCACCCGGGGTGGTTGCGATGCCAAACAGCAAACCGTCACAGACCTTGAAAAACCATGTCAATCAGAATGTGAAGCAGGTGGTCCTGGGGAACCTTCAATTTAAGGCGTGGTTCGATTCGCGTTACCCTGAAGAGCTAGTGAGACCTGGCGATGGAACGCTGTACGTCTGTCGGTGGTGTTTCCGATATACATGCGACAAGCAAGCATACTTAGGCCACATGCCCACATGCACAAGCAAGCATTCACCACTCGGTACCCAAATCTACGAACATGGCGGATATTCAGTGTGGGAGGTCGACGGCGAGGACCAAAAGCTCTTTGCTCAGAACCTGTCTCTCTTTGCGAAGCTGTTTCTGGACCACAAGTCCGTCTTCTTCGACGTGTCCTCGTTTTTATACTATCTTCTCGTCTATACGAATCCTGCCGATCCGGATGACTACCATGTACTGGGGTTTTTCTCAAAGGAAAAGATGTCATGGGATGCTAATAACTTAGCATGTATTCTCATCTTCCCACCATACCAACACAAGCAACTGGGCAAGCTCTTGATGGGTATTAGTTACAAACTGAGTGCGTGGGAATGGAAGGATGGAGTTATTGGTGGACCCGAGAAACCTCTTAGTGAGATGGGCCATAAGAGCTATGTGAGGTTTTGGGAGGAGAGGATGGCTAGATTCCTCCTTCATGTAAGCTCCAGCGGAGTGAAGGACGAGCAACCCAAGACCAGTAACGCAAAACCACCGCCTGCAAAGAAATATAGGAAGAAGCCACCTCGAGAGCGGATGTCAATTCAGGATATTGGGCAGGCGACTGGTATGTTAGCCGAGGATGTCCTCACGGCCTTGAATTCAATGGGAGTTGTTCAAGCAGAGAAGAAACCTGTGAAACGGAAACGAGCCTCACAGCCGGAAGGTGATGATGACCTCCCAACTGCGGTCATAAAAAGGTCCAATGTCCTGGAGTGGTCGAAGTCGCACAAGGTGAACTTACGGGATCCCGTCCATGATGAAGGATTCGTAGGGGAATGGGCCACTAGCAGTGACAAGGAATCGGATTGAAAATGGCAAAAGTGACCATCTCAGTAACCTTTTTTAAAGGATAAGGAAAGAGAGTTTATCACACATACTCTTTCCATTAATATGGGGGTATACTCAGGCATGAGTAAAAGGTATGTGCCCTACCACAATATACATCTACCTCCTATTAATATGATACCACTAGTGGATATTACCTGCGAATGCGGCTTATAATAGGCTTATGTTGAATATCCCAACATTTTAAGTGCCTCAGGGTGCACCTCTAGCCCAGGTGTTTAGTTATCCAGTCGGGTCGCTCCGACTACGAAAACTAACTCTAACTCTATACCTATCGGCTTTACCATCACTTTACCTATGCGTGATATCCAATGTCCATGCATATCCATTGAATACTCTTGGTCGGTGTGGTTTGCTTACTCAGTACAGCGAAGCCTTTTCCTCAATTTAAACATGGGTTTTCAACCGGGAACCGATAATGCGAAAGGATCCAAAGGATTAAATGGGCATATATATATTGGCGAGCACGTGTACTAAATTTAGCTGATATTCTAGCTTAATACCAACATCTAGCCTGCTGGGGTGAAACGCGATTGAGCTCTGCTATCTGGTTTTGGCTTTGCTAGCAACATAGCTATGGCTTTGGCTTTGGCATCTGGGTGGGCTACATCCTGTTTATGGACAATGCAATGGTTTATTCATTATATTAAGCCGTCTGCGCACTTGATATACTACGTGGTGGAATATAGATAAGCTAAAAAAGTGTGCGCAAAGTAATCTATTTTTGGCATTATCCTAGAGGACCCGAAGGATATCTAAGCACAATAGGCCCCGACGATTAACTTAACCTTTAGAAAACCACGTTTTTACTCTTCCATTCCCTGTGGACCGCCTTGTTTACCCATCTGTCTCGCCTTGAGCAACTCGTCACACAGAAGCAAGTTGGAGGCAATGCCGGCACTAGAAGCAATGCAATTCCTTAATACCCTGAATGAATCAAAGACACCCTCCTGGACAGGATCCATGGGGTTTCCAGTGACAAGGTCTAGACCGGCAATGTTTCCTTCCGAATGTTCGTCTTGGAGGACAGCGATTGATTCTTGGATGTCGTGACCAGAGTTAGCAGCCAAAGTCTTGGGAATGATGAGTAGTGACTCCAAAAAGGCGTCAACACCAAACTTGGATTTGCCCTTCACTGTCTTGCGGAACTCCGCTGACTTCAGGTGTTCAGCGCAAGCGATCTGGAAGGATCCTGCTCCTGGAACAACGGCCCCGTCAACAATGGTGTTGTAGACTGAACGTAGTCCGTCACGAGTTGCTTCCGTAATCTGGGTGATGGTGTGTTGGTTTGGACCTTTGATAAGAAGAGTCACAGACTTAGGGTCCTTAACCTCCTCGATGAAGGTGTACTTTTCCTCACCAAGCTCATGCTCGTAAACAAGGCCAGCCCAGCCGAGGACATCAGGTGTGAGGTCGTCAACACTATTTTGCGCAGTACCACCGCACACTAGTTGTAGGCGTTCCATGTTTCTCCTCTTTGCTCGGCGCAGAGCAAGAATGCCGTTCTTCACCAGGACATCCAAACTCAGGGGGTCGATACCCTTTTGATTAATGACAACAAATGACTTCTTGGGGTCGTTTCCACAGACCTCCTTCTTCAAGTCCACGATTTTCTTTAGTTTGGCGTCAACAAATTTGCGCTCGCTTTCCACAAGCTTATCCCTCTGTTCGGCAGTCGAGTAGAAAAATCCGGAGTTGATCTCGGACTTTTCATATTCTAGACTGACGTTGAGAGTCAGGATAAAAGCGTTTTCTACTCGCTTGGGCATATCAGGATGACGCGCTCCGTGATCCAATGCAAGACCTCGAATGAGCTTAGTATCGGAGGCAGTGCGGTGCTGCATCTTCATGATCTCAATCATATGCAAGTCTGGTTTAGCTGGGGCCTTGTATATCGCAAGGACGGCATCAACAATGGCGGGTGTCAATTTTTCTGCAAGGGTACGGTTGAGTTTTGTGGCAAGAGATGTCCGCGCTACTGATAGCAGGAGCTCCCGATCGATATTTCGCTTAAGTTTGAAAGACTCAAGGAACTAGAAATATGCAACGATTAGCTAAAGAGCCTATGAATGGAGGACCTTGCAACGTGTACGTACCTTTAGAGCTTCATCTTTAGCAATCTCGTATCCGTCAGTAATGACCCTAGGATGTAGGCCTTCAGAAATATGTCGATTAGCTTGTTTGAGCAATTCTCCAACAAGCAAGACCACTGAAGTGGTTCCGTCGCCAGTGATATCATCCTGTGCGGTTGCTGCTCTTGCAATCATCACCTGAAACCCCGCATATCAGTACGTGTATAGTCCGTGAAGAAAAAATAGATTATATTACCGCTGTGGGATTTTGAATTTGCTATATCAGATTCAACATTAGCAGTTGTAGCGGTAAGCGAGGGTGAAAACGTCTTGACAAACCATTTCTCGCAGCAGGACATTCCCATCTTTTGTAAGCTTAATCTATATACCCGTCGAGTGAGAATGCTGCCGCGGCATATAATTGAGATAAAAGGAGTCAAACGCATACCGATCCTGCGCCGTCGACAAGCCTGGATTCATTATCACCACGGAGTTAGTCAACAGTATATATTTAAATAATGTGCGTAGAAACCCCACATACATCTTAATGGTGCCAGAAGGCCCTAGATTGGATTTGAGGACATCTTGAAGACCTTCTCCGGCACTGATATTGACCTTTAACGCTTCTCCTCTCCGCTATATATTTTGTTATTTATCGTGTCCCCTAATATGGTGGGATAGAGGGGGGGGTTAGAAGTATTACCCTGGACTCCGCCTTTGGGTTCAGCAACTGTGTTGCGGACATGGCGACAAAGATAGAATTCCCGTATTAAAAAAGACCTTCCGCCTGAGCCTGGACAAACCTCGACAATCCTCGTAGAAATGCTGGTAAAACCGCTTCGCCAGGTGTGTTCTTTTCGTTCCGCCAAAGAATCTCAAAAGTGCCAAAAGTAAAGTTCAAGCTTGAAGCTCTGCGCACATTTCCCTCTCGGCACTAGCGCGTCCACAGAGACAGCGAAGGAAAAAAAAACTTCGACTTTTTTTGCTTCTTGCGATTTTTCCAGCTTCAAACACTCCAATCCAACGAAGCTCGTCGAGCCGCCGCCAATTGACGGGAATCAAACTGCTTAAGGATACAGTTGCTCTCTCCGACATGGCGGACTTTCTTCTCTTCGAGGGCCCCGTGGGCTACTCGCTTTTTAAAGTTATTCACAAGCCTGATTCTGTCGGAAACAGACTGAAGGAGGTTCAGGCTGCTAACCAGGACCTTGCGAAATTTGGGAAAATGGTTGAGGTCGTTAGTTTCTTGCCTTTCGAGTACGTTTTTTTCCTCCATGTTATCCGTTTCCTTCGCGTGCTAATATGTGGTAGGAATAATAAGCAAGCGCTCAGCGAAATTAACGACGTATCCGAAGGTGTTGCTTCCGAGACGTTAATCTCGTTCCTTGAACTCAATTTACCAAAAGCGAGCAAGAAAAAGAGTGTGGTGATGGGTGTCTCTGATAAAGGTCTGGCTGGTAGCATCAAGGCGGCGTTTCCCTTCGTAGAGTGCGAAACTGGCGACACCAGCGAGGTTGTTCAGGATATGCTACGAGGGATTCGAATGCACTCCGGAAAGCTTCTTAAACAGCTCCGTGAGGGTGATATCAATACTGCGCAGCTAGGTCTTGGTCATGCCTACTCTCGTGCAAAAGTCAAGTTCTCGGTCCAACGCGACGACAACCACATCATCCAGGCTATTGCTATTTTGGATCAATTGGACAAGGCCATTAACACTTTCTCTATGAGAGTGCGGGAGTGGTACTCATGGCACTTCCCGGAACTGGTTAAGATTGTATCTGATAATCACCGTTACGCTCGCTGCGCCCTCTTCATTAAGGACAAGAAAGACCTCTCTGAAGATAAGCTCCACGATCTAGCTGCCATTGTGGATGATGACGAGGGTATCGCTACTAGCATCATGGATGCCGCCAAGCATAGTATGGGTCAGGATATCACAGGCACAGACATGGAGAATGTCATCGCTTTTGCCGAACGAGTTGTTAGCCTTGGAAATTATCGCAAGAACCTCCATGCATACCTGGTTAACAAGATGAGCGTTGTTGCTCCTAACTTGGCCACCCTTATTGGAGAGGTTGTTGGTGCTCGCTTGATCTCTCACGCTGGAAGTTTGACTAACCTATCTAAATACCCTGCCTCAACCGTACAAATTCTTGGTGCTGAGAAAGCCCTTTTCAGAGCTCTTAAAACCAAGGGCAATACCCCCAAGTACGGTCTTCTATATCATTCCTCTTTTATTGGCCGCGCTGGTACCAAGAACAAAGGTCGCATTTCACGGTTCCTCGCAAACAAGTGCTCTATTGCGTCAAGGATAGACAACTTTTCTGAGACACCATCCACAGCATTCGGAAATGCTCTTCGACAACAAGTAGAAGAAAGACTGGAATTCTACGCCTCTGGAGCTGCTCCTACCAAAAATGAAGTTGCAATGGTATGTAGAGATCGACTTTATGATACCATTTTTACACTGCTGACTGCTTTACTCTTTAGAAAACTGCTATGGACTCTATCCTTGCTGATATCGAGGTTGACGGTGACGGTGATGAAGATGTTGAAATGGAAGATGTTGACAAGGCTGAGAAGAAGGAAAAGAAGGAAAAGAAGAAGGACAAGAAGGAAAAGAAAGAGAAAAAAGAGAAAAAGGAGAAGAAAAAGGAGAAGAAAGATAAGGCGGCCGGCGCATCTGATGCTGAAACTGATGCTACGCCTAAGAAGAAGCGGAAACACGACGCAGAAGCTGGATCCGAGAAGAAGAAGAAACAAAAGAAGTGAGCCTCTATAGGTTGGAGTCTTTGAATGGCGTTTTAGGAAAGGATATGTCTAGTCCCATGTCTATCTGTTTATATGGAAGGGTTGTCTGATTTCATTTTTGTGTATACTTACGGCATCATCTCGTTCTTAAATGGATATCGGTGAGCATTCATTCTCCCGTCTATTTTCGTCTTTGCATTCTATCCCTTGAAGTACTTGTAGGCTTCGCTTAGTAAGCTTCTCCATATAAAAGGAACTTCTTGAACTTAGGCAGGCCAAACAGACCTAACTATCACAATATCAAATATCCTGCAGTCAGAATCATGGAAAAGCTCACATATTCCGGCGCAAAGCTACTCAAACAACACTAGCTGGCACTGGTTAAGCTCATGCAAATCATCCTAATCCATGGGCATGACGCACATTTGGTGTCGTACCTCCTGAGTGGCTTTATGAAATGAGTCTGAAGCAGCTTTCTTAACAGCATTACATAACTATACCCTGAGAAATGGAACAGAGAGTGCTATCCGTTCATAAAAAATCTCTAAAGCGCAAACATGACGAATCTGATCTTAGCGAAGAATCGGTTTCTCCTCTATCAAGTCCAGATCAACCTGATGAAGAAGGCAAACCTGAGATCATTGACCAGGCTGATGTGAAGCCACCTGGAGCTTATCTTCATGGAAATGTTGCTAATAAATTTCGGGATCTTGACATACGATGTCGAACCACTAATAACGAGGAACTTCGACATCACCCTCCCCCAGAATATGACATACAGCCCCAAAGTTCAGAAATTCCTCCAGAGCTTCCCACACACGGAAAAATTTCTAAAACAAGAGAAAATGGCGATGATTCCAAGCTGCTATATTCTACCGCACGGTCAACATCGTTTACCAATGAAGCCACTCCGGAGAAAAAAGACCCGGCGTGCCTAGAATCACCGCCTCCTACATCAAATGGAAATACTGATGCAGAGGCCACCGAAGAATCATTGACCTGGGATGAATCAGAAATCACGGGTCATCATGCCACAGATCCTAATGACGATGGATATGGCCTTAATGGAATCGGGTTCAAACCATCAGCTGAAGTGGCGTGGGCTAGGTCCCAGCATCGAAAGGATCAGGTAGCTGAATGGAAAAGACGTATGGCGAGTGAGGCACGCGAAGCTCGTAGTAGGCGACGACAGAAAGACGAGGACATTTGCAATGCAAGCTACATAGCAAAAGGCTCCCCTAAGCAGAAACGAGTCAAATTTGATGCTTAAGCATTTGTATAAAAGATGTTTTACAGATTATCAACATTAGAGAGGGGTTTTTGGAAAAGGCGGCTATTTTACAGAGATGAATAATGCTTATGCAGACGTCTACCCAAATGCTATACCGCCGCCAGTCGCATTTATCGTCCTGGAATGCCCGCAACCCAGACGCCGAGACTCCCAAGGGATATAAAAATGTCATGGCCCAAACAACTACCAGAATTTATAATTGGATGGGTTCGTCCAGCTCTTCCGGCGTGCCTCCTCTGCTTTCCGGGCCTCTTCTTCCTCGTGTAACTTCCTGGCAGCTTCTCTCTCCTTTTGTTTCTTGAGCTTGAGCTCCCTCATGAGCTCTGCTGCTTCTTTCATTCCTTCGCGCTCAATGGCTCTCTGCCTTTGGCAGTATTCGTGTGCAGCCAACGATACAATTGCAAAAGAGCCAACAGCCCAGTTACTAGCACTCCATAACGACTTGAGACCTAAGATAAAGTTAATCTCACTTGTGCCTTTCTGTCATCATCAACATATGCCAATCTGCCTTTATAATCCCGCTTTCGTACCTCCAAGTATAGCCCTCAAACCGCCAACACCGAACCCTGTGCCTATTCCCAACAGAAGAGAATCTCGCGCGCAAGGTGCTTTGTATACCGATGCAAACTTCTCGAGGGACAGCGATCTTAGCGAATCCATAACCGTGACTTCCTTTGGTTTACCGCCCGCAGAATTATAGGTGCCACCAGGCATTAAATTGACCGGTTCTTTGGGATTTCCCAGCTCCTCCCATAGCTTGCCCACTTGCGACTTGGATATTTCATATTTCGTCTTTCCGTCCGCCGTAGTTGGCTCTGCCTTTGTAGGAGCTTCCGCCTGTGAAGCTTGATCCCGGGAGTCTGCTGCCATGACTATCTTTGTTGCTCCGAGAGATGACTTGTTGTTACCTCCTGCCGTCAAAAATTCTTCCCCGTCTCTTGCGTCCCTGGGAGAGAAAGCTTCACGCATGCCAAGGCGTGGCATCTGAAAATGGAATATTTACCCGCGCCGCTTCAATTAAACAAACCTTAAGAAACGCGACGAAACGCGCCAGACGCGATTAAATTGATATCTCAGAGTTTCTTCCTCGACATGAACTTTTTTGCCATAAAGCGCTCTCTTCTGGAAGGGTTGTTGCTTTCTTTCGATGCAGCCTCTTTAACACTGCTTCTTAACCTAATGGATTTGCTGTAACCTGGCGTTTTTCTTTCTCTGCACATTTTTAATCATACGATCGTTGACGCGAGCCGAAGATGGCCCGCCGACCAGGCAAATATGGCAACAATTACAGATCGCAGTCGTCGTCGTTTATACCGAAAAAGTCAAAGACCATTGGTGTATCGTCCTTACGGTCAAGCGAAGCGACCTCTCAGGATGAGAAATTTCAAGCGTTGCGTATTGCAGACGGGATCGATGAGACGATGGGATTTGCACGATATGAAGCGGGGAAGAAGCGAATCGGATGGCTATGCAACATGCATAGTACAACAATTGAGGATCCAAAGGTACCCGGTGGCCGAGCGGCAGTGGAATTCTATTTCCTCGAAGAGAACGGCGGCAGTTTCAAGGCGGCTGTCGAATATGATCCTTATTTCCTCATAGCTACAAAGCGAGGACATGAAGCAGAGGTAGAGGAATGGTGCAAGCGGACATTCGAAGAGCTATTGAAAGGAGTAAAAGTGGTGGAAAAGGAGGATTTGAAAATGCCAAACCATTTACTTGGGTATAAAAGGAAGTTTTTGCAGTTGAGCTTTGCCAACGTCTCAGACCTGCTGGCAGTACGAAAAACCGTCTTTCCCATTGCCGTCAAAAACAGAAAAAATGTCAATGCGATGGATACCTATGCGGAGCTTGCAAGGTGAGTACTCACTTCGATTGATCTTAGGGAGTGCTAACCTAACATTGACAGTGCAAACGCTGGGTTTGATCTCTTTGATGATGAATCCAATAATCGCGGACAAAACTCACTGCAAGATGCTGCGGACTACATTGTGGATATCCGAGAATATGATGTTCCATACCATGTCCGTGTCTCTATCGATAAAGGTAATTATTCTGAAATGATACTTAGTGGTTGACTGTGACTAACGTAATCTAGACATCCGCATTGGAAAGTGGTACACAGTTCAATCAATCCATGGACTTATAACGTTGACCTGCCTCGAGGAAAGGCTGCAGAGAGCCGACCCCGTCGTTCTTGCATATGATATAGAAACCACAAAACTCCCCCTGAAATTTCCGGATGCTGCTATTGATCAGGTTATGATGATATCATATATGATTGATGGACGCGGTTACCTGATCACAAATAGGGAAATAGTCTCTGAAGATATCAACGATTTTGAATATACTCCCAAACCTGAATACCCTGGCCCTTTTACGATCTTCAATGAACCGGATGAGAAAGCCGTACTAGAACGTTTCTTTAGCCACATCAAGGAAGCAAAGCCAAGCGTTATGGTCACTTATAACGGCGACTTTTTCGATTGGCCCTTTGTCGAAGCACGAGCAAGTGTCCAAGGGATTGATATGTATGCTGAAATCGGCTTTCGAAAAAACAGTGAAGACATATACCAAAGTGATTATTGCGCTCACATGGACGCATTTTCGTGGGTAAATCGTGATAGTTATCTCCCACAGGGAAGCCGTGGTTTGAAAGCTGTTACCGTTGCGAAGCTGGGATACGACCCCGATGAGCTTGACCCGGAATTAATGACCAGATACGCGAGCGAACGGCCTCAAACACTAGCCGAATACTCGGTTTCCGATGCGGTGGCGACGTATTACCTGTATATGAAATATGTTCATCCATTTATCTTTTCACTTTGCACCATTATCCCGCTCAATCCAGACGAGGTCCTTCGAAAGGGCACTGGAACCTTATGTGAAATGTTACTGATGGTCCAAGCCTATCAGCACAACATTATATTACCCAACAAACATACGGATCCAAACGAATCGTTTTATGAAGGTCATCTTCTTGACTCTGAGACTTATGTTGGAGGCCACGTGGAAAGTATTGAAGCTGGTGTATTCCGCAGTGATATCCCTGTTAATTTTACCGTTGAGACTGGTGCTATTGACGAACTCCTTCGTGACCTCGATGCAGCGCTCGAGTTCAGTATAACCGTGGAAGAAAAGAAATCTATGGAAGACGTGGTTAATTACTCCGAAGTCAAGGCACAAATTACGGAAAGGTTGCTGAATTTGAAGAATTGCCCAAATAGAAATGAGAGACCATCTATCTACCATTTGGATGTTGCTTCTATGTATCCAAACATCATGACTACAAACAGACTACAACCAGATTCAATGATCAAGGAGTCTGACTGTGCTGCCTGTGACTTCAACCGACCCGGTAAAACCTGCGATAGACGCTTGCCATGGTCCTGGAGAGGAGAATTTTTGCCAGCAAAACGTGATGAATATAATATGATCCGACGAGCTGTTGAAAATGAAAAATTCCCTGGAAAGACAAAGAACCACCCACCTAGGAGTTTCGAGAGCCTTGACGAGAGTGAGCAAGCCACAATTGTGAAGAAACGGTTACAGGAATACAGCAAAAAAATCTACCACAAAATTCGCGAAACTAGAACTATCGAGCGTGAAGCTATCATTTGCCAAAGAGAAAACCCTTTCTACGTTGATACCGTCCGCAACTTCAGAGATCGAAGATATGATTTCAAGGGTAAACAGAAGGTCTGGAAAGGCAAGGTAGAATCTCTCAAGTCTTCTGGAGCTGCGAATTCGGAAATTGAAGAAGCAAAAAAAATGGTTGTTCTCTTTGACTCTCTCCAGCTTGCCCATAAAGTTATTCTGAACAGTTTCTATGGCTATGTAATGAGAAAAGGTTCTCGGTGGTATTCTATGGAGATGGCTGGTGTTACCTGCCTGACTGGAGCACATATCATTCAAATGGCAAGGGAGCTAGTTGAGCGGATTGGACGGCCCTTAGAGCTTGATACAGATGGTATTTGGTGCATGTTACCAGGCACTTTTCCAGAGAACTTCGTGTTCAAACTTGTAAATGGCAAAAAGCTCGCCATTTCATACCCCTGCGTTATGTTGAACCACCTAGTTCATGGTCGATTTACAAACCACCAGTATCAGACCCTTTCGGATCCTTCTACGTTCAAATACACAACTCACAGTGACAATTCCATCTTTTTCGAAGTCGACGGCCCTTATAGAGCAATGATTCTACCAACCTCAAAGGAAGAGGATAAAAACTTGAAAAAGCGTTATGCTGTGTTCAACCACGATGGATCCCTTGCTGAATTGAAAGGGTTTGAAGTCAAACGAAGAGGAGAGCTTAAACTTATCAAGGTGTTCCAGACGCAGATTTTCAAGTTCTTTCTCGAAGGATCTACACTTGAAGAGACATATGGGGCTGTGGCTGAAGTTGCGAACAGATGGCTGGATGTTTTGGATATGCATGGGTCAACGCTAGCAGATGAGGAACTCATCGATATGATTTGTGAGAATAGGAGTATGTCCAAAACCATTGAAGAATACGGCGGTCAAAAATCTACATCAATCACCACCGCCAAACGGCTTGCTGAATTCCTAGGGGAGCAAATGATAAAAGATAAAGGGTTAAACTGCAAGTATATCATTTCTGCAGCACCCAGAAACTCCCCTATCACGGAACGAGCTGTGCCCGTTGCTATATTTTCAGCCGAGGAAAATATTAAACGGTTTTTCCTGCGCAAATGGCTGAAAGAGGACCCTGGAGATATGGACCCGCGTACCATAATTGACTGGGATTACTACCTAGAACGATTGGGATCTGTGATTCAGAAATTGATAACTATACCCGCTGCTCTACAGAAAATTTCCAATCCTGTCCCAAGAGTTGCTCACCCAGATTGGCTTCAGCGACGGATCAATACCAAAGAAGACAGGTTCAAACAAAAGAAAATGACCGATCTCTTCACCAAAAATCCACTAGCAAATATCTCGACAAATATTATGGATCATCGTATTCCTTCTACCGGTGATATTGAAGACATGATGCAACGTCGAAGTCAGAAACCAGGTACACAGTTGGGGAACAAGCTCATTCAGAAACGGAAAGCCCCAGGAGACAACACTACATCCCAAGACCCTTTTGCCAGTCTCCCACCGGTAATGCCTTCGATAGATAAGAACTATGAGGACTGGCTACGCTACCAGAAACAGAAATGGAAGATCCAGAAACAAGCACGTCTCCGTCGCCGCAAGCTCTTTGGTGCTAAGAAAACCGCAGCTTCTGATTCAACTGGCAGTTTCTTCCGAAATCAAGCTGAACTGACTTACGTCAATACCTGGCAAATATTACAACTCAGGGAGACTAGCAGCCCGGGTGAGGTGAGAGCATTTGTCCTAATTGATCGGAAAGTGCACACCATTACTATCAAAATCCCACGCCAGATATTTATCAATTTCAAAGACGTGGATCTTCCAGATGTTGATATAACTGGCTGTTCTGTGCAGAAAGTCAACCACACGCTGCCAAACGGCCACCCTTCCGTCCATCTTTTCCAACTGAGCATGCCGGAAGAGACATATCTGAGAGAAGCGTCAAAGATATCACTACTACTTAACCACCCAAGTGTTGAAGGAGTGTATGAAAAGAAAGTGCCCTTTAACATTCGGGCCGTCCTCAAACTTGGAAACCATTGCACCTTCGATGAGGAGCAGCGAGGAGTTCTCGGCAAAGGTTTGGAGCGTGGCTTTGATTTATCAACTCTTCTCCCAGCCCCGGAACCGGGTGTATATCTTGAAGGAGCAGAATTTCAATACGTCTTGCTCTATCATATAGTCTCTGGCGAGCGCGAGATATTCTCAATTTTCTCCACCAAATCTAGAGAAGCTCACATTGTCACATACACAAAACAGAGGGACATACAAGGGTTTCCCAATGTCGACAAAATCTTCACAGAGGCTCTTCAACGGAAAGTGGACGAGCAAAATAGTGAAACATGGCAGCAAGTATTCCAGTACCAGGATAAGCTACATTTCAAGACTACACAAGTTACAACGAAGCGAAAGGCCCACTTGGAAGTTGGTGACATTATTAAAAAGTTCCGCAATGAAAATACTATGCCACTGATGGTTGTAGTCCAGTCACCCAAAAGTCGGCAGCTTCCACGTCTAATACCGTCTTTAAAGGATTATCCCATGGTATCTCTCAGATCCAATGCTTCGGATAATGAACTACCGCCATTGGGCTGGCAACCGTACGCCGCAAGACAAATCGTGGTGCATTATCTGGCGCTGGATTCCTGGATCAACCACTTATTGGGGTTTGCGAGATACGGCAATGTCCCGATTGGCAATTTGGAGAAAGATGACCCTAAACACTTGATTGATATCCTTTATGCTCGGCAGCTCGAGCAGAACAATGCAGTTTTATGGTGGTCTGCCAGTCCTCTTCCAGATCATGGCGGATACGAAAAGGACAACATACTTGGTCCGCTGAATTCGGTTGAGATGACTTCTGTCAATATAGCTGGTGCATATTCCACCGTTTGTATTGAACTCGAGGTTCGAAATCTTGCGATCAATACCGTGCTCACGTCTTCCCTTATTAGCGACCTCGAGAACAATGAACCTGCGTTACTCAATCCCACGGCTCCAGGAGGTCAACAAACTATTTCGGACGGATCAGGTGTTTTGTATTCAGACACTGCGTTTTCTGCTGCGGGTATACTTGTATTACGAGATATGGTGAAATCCTGGTGGAATGAAGCCTGTAAGGGCAATGGCATGGCGGACGTAATGGTCCAGCACCTTATTCGATGGGTGGATAGCGCTGATTGTTGCTTATATGATCACGCACTGCATCAGTACATGCAGATGATTCTAAAAAAGGCTTTGCAACAGCTTATCATGGCCTTCAAACGAGTTGGGTCCAACGTTATCTACGCAAACCCGAACAGGTTGATCCTTCAGACCACGAAAGCTGAGGTTGGAAACGCCTACGCCTACAGCAAATATATCCTTCAATCTATCAAGGAAAAGCCATTATTCCACTTCCTTGACATTGACATCAAGGAGTACTGGGATTACTTGATATGGTATGATCAGTTCAATTACGGAGGCAAAGCATGCCAGGAGGTTGTGGAGGCCGATAAGCAAGAGCTGGAAGCCATTATGAACTGGCAGATTTGCAGATTTTTACCCACCCCCCTGCAGTCCGTGTTTGTAGACTGGATTGTGGAGTACGTCGAGTTAATGCATGGGCTCAAGAAGCCTGCTACGGTGAGTGGTGGAGCCGATGGAACTCCTCGGCAGACACAGCTTCCATTCCGACCTGAAGACGAGAGTGAGAGCGTCGAGATAACCTCCGTGTTGAGCCAATCGTTCTCCAAAGCACTAAAAAAACAGGTAGCCGGCTTGATTCGTCGACAGCGCGACGAGATGCTGCACCCTGAGCTTGCCTCTGACTATGATTTCCCTGTACTCCCTGGAGCAATGTCTCCGAAGCATGAACGTAACCCAACCCTAGTGTTGGTTAAATATCTCATGCAGGTCCTTGGGCTGTCTAAATATACAGCATTGGAAGTGAGACTTCTCCGCCGAGATCTCCTTGCCCTATTCGACATCCGCGAGTTTAGTGATGAAGGAAAGTTCGAAAGCCCAAGCTCAAGCCTAGTTCTGTCACAGATAATATGCCACAATTGTACTATGGCCCGGGATTTGGATCTCTGCCGTGACCCCGAATTGCTTCCTGAGAGTGGAACGGAGAATAAGGTGTCGACAACTCTTCCTCCATGGACTTGCCCTTACTGCTCTACTGAGTACGACCGGCTATTCCTGGAAGAGAGGATCATTGGCGAAGTTCAGGGCCTTGTGATGGAGTGGCAAGCACAAGACCTCAAATGCGCAAAATGTGCTGGTATAATGATTAATCCATTCATGGAACACTGTTCATGCAGCGGTGAGTGGGTTGAGACAATCGACAGGCGTGCCACGGAGAAAAGGCTTCGGGTATACAAAAGCATAGCGGATTTTTATGGTTTCAAGATGTTGTCTATGGTTACGAAAGGCGTTTTGGAAGGCATATGAGCGGGATGGTCATGATATCCATGATAGTCAATGTTAGATATTTGATCTAGAGCGTGGCTGGCTCTAGGGATGGGTTTGTTGCATGAGCTGTGTTTTATGTATTTACGTGCTGGCGTTCACGGAGGCAAGGAGATGCGGAAAAGGGGTTTAACCATTTTGCCTTTATTTATCACCCCTGCATTCCTCGTCACATTCAAGGTATATCTAATATTAATGGCTATACGGAGTATATATATGTATGTTGTATACATAAGGTACAAATCGAGAGTCGTCTCCTTTTCCCCTTTTTAGCCTGTCCAGGGCTTGTCCCAAAATGGTGTGGGGCAAAACTCCGCCGCGACAACTTCCAACTTGTCGAACCACTCGAGTCCACCAACCCTTAACAGGTCGGCTTTACCTTATACTCCCTGTTATTCGACTGCGCAGCCTGCGATTTTCTCAGAGCTATAGACAGATTCTCGTCTTTATTGTTGGTTTTTGCTTGTGGGAAACACTCCTGCCTTGGTCGTTAACTTACCCCGCCTGCGATCACACCTCCCCCTACGGAGTACAGCTACTCCTTCGCCAGGAAGCCGAGAGTCAGGCGAGGGCCAAATCTCACTGACTATAAATCCTCTATAAATCGAATATCCAGCTCTCGGTTCCCTTTTACGCCGTACTCTCAGCAAGTTTTAACCGACATCCTGGCCCAATGGCTGCTCAGGGCCATCCAGAGGCAAGCAGGCCCAAAACCGAAGTCCAGCCATGCAGGTATAAAACAGGGAAGACACTAGGAGCTGGGTCTTATTCTGTCGTGAAAGAGTGTGTCCACATTGATACTGGCCGGTATTACGCTGCAAAGGTTATCAATAAACGGTTGATGACTGGACGAGAGCACATGGTACGTATTCGTTCACGGCCAAAAATGCCGTTCTTTGGGTCTATTCCAGGGGAGCTGACTGTATCATTAACCAAAGGTTCGAAATGAGATTGCCGTACTGAAGAGGGTGTCTATGGGGCACCAGAATATCCTTACCCTGGTGGACTATTTCGAAACCATGAACAACCGTACGTGCACTGTCAAAGCCTAAGGGAACCATTCTTAACTCAATAATGTGCAGTGTACCTCGTCACAGACCTAGCCTTGGGAGGAGAACTGTTCGATAGAATTTGCCGAAAAGGAAGCTACTACGAGTCCGATGCGGCTGACCTTATCCGTGCAACACTATCCGCTGTAGCATACCTCCACGATCATGGAATAGTCCACAGGGACTTAAAACCAGAGAATCTCCTGTTCCGTACACCAGAAGATAATGCCGACCTTCTAATTGCCGATTTCGGACTTTCGAGGATAATGGACGAAGAGCAGTTCCATGTCTTGACAACCACATGCGGTACCCCGGGGTACATGGCCCCAGAGATTTTCAAAAAGAGTGGACATGGAAAGCCTGTGTAAGAACAGAATACGTTCCCTAATATGCTAAGTCCAGATTGCTAATATGTCACTATTTGCAGGGATATCTGGGCTATTGGCGTTATCACTTACTTCCTCCTCTGTGGTTATATGCCTTTTGACCGTGACTCCAACGTTGAAGAGATGCAGGCCATTTTGGTAGCCGATTACTCATTCACTCCAGAAGACTATTGGCGCAATGTATCTCCCACTGCGTGCGAGTTCATTAATCGATGCCTTACAACTGACCCCCTTGCTCGTATTACCTCTCATGAAGCCCTACAGCACCCTTGGATTAACCCTCCAGCCGATCCATTGAACCCCGAGGCCACTGGAAAAACTGGTACTGGTGAGGACCTCCTACCAGTTGTCAAGAAGAACTTCAATGCCCGGCGTACATTGCACAAGGCTATTGATACCGTTCGTGCTATCAACAAATTGAGAGAAGGCGGCGGCCTGATGATGGACGGTGCAATGAGCATTGATCCAAGACCAGAAAGGGTCAATGGCGATCAGGTTACGCCCGAGAACGGAGGCCACGATGGCCATATGGAGATTGATAGCAGGGGAAACGCTAGGGGCCAGACTGAGGAGCAGATCAGGGAACAAGAGAAGAGAGTTAAAAACGTGGTTACAGGGTTGTGGAACCAGTCTGCTGCTGGACGGCGGTGAAATAACTAACAATGGTATTAATTTTTTCTTCTTCTAATATTTGTGCAGGGGCTACACACAACTAGGTAACAGTAGCCCTCAGAATTGTTATTTAGCTGCCATTGGATAAGAAGAATAGGTCTTAGCTAGTAACTACAGGTCTAATACGCGCAAGATTCACCTTAGTAGCTTCCAACCCGCAATAGTTATATTCGAAAGATCAAGTGTAACTCCATATGCCGCTGGTTGAAATGTCTTGTTCTAATGAAACTCGATTCCTAGAGGCGGTATTATGCATATCCAGACAAGCAATATACAGTTAGTCAACTGGGTTAACTAGTAACGAGGGCAAGGAAGCGTAAACTTAGAACAGCACTCAAATCAGCCACTAAGCCAACTACGAGGGGCTTTGAATTGGCAGCATATCTAGCTATTGCTAAAGTGGAGAAGTGAGAGGAAATACATTGTACTGGCATTGTAGTATATTGTATACGCTTACATAGATGTTAATATGAAGTTGAAGAGACCACAAGTACGGAGTAACAAGTAGCACCTTTAGATTTAGAGGGTCAAAAAGGTGGTTGCGGCTCAAGCCGAGGGCCAAGGTTTCGTGTCACGTGGTGTTTCGCATTGGAGGTAACTAACTGGTTAGTTAGGTTTTCTCCCGAGTTTAAAGCGACAGCAGCGAGCAACAAGACGAGGATCGTTGGTATTCCTGACACCGACGCTGGGTGATCACCACACTGCATTGGAAGCCTCGAGGTGGTCAATCTTACATTCACCAATAAATCTTTGGCAGAGCTGGAACATCCCAATCTGGCGGGCGTAGTGCCTTACCCAGCTGATCACAACCACCTCTGTATGCAGCCAGCAATTGCTATTCATGCAGTCACCCGGTCAGGAATGTTATGAGTTATGCTCAGTCGGCCTCGTTCACCTTATAATGATACCCCTAGCCTCCTCTAACCGTGGAAGCAAACGAGCTTGTGCTTTCAGTGCACATAACTGATAAGCCCTATAGCTCTGCCTTCCTACGGATTTATTCCCCAAAATTTGTTACTCGTGATTATGCCGTTTCTTATGCGGAGGCAGGAGTTGGCCTAGAAAACCCCTTAGCACCTGCAAACTACAGTTATGGCTTATAGCCTCAAGGGGTGGTCTAACATTCACCGAGAATGTAGACAATTATTACGTCGTACTGCTATATTCTTAGAGTACTGACCCACTCCTACACTTCTGCTTTAACTGTCATAGCATGCTGGGAAACTTGATCCATTTGGCTATCAAAATAATCAGGATTATCAAGGGGTTTCACACCCTCTGGTTCTGCTCAATTAAACACATGTCGCCTATATACATCCAACGTCTAGCAGCTGAGCTTTCCACACTTGCGGCAAGAGGTTCTGACACCATAGTCGCAGGCCTTGCCGGTTTTCCTGGCACATTCAAAAACGTGACCGTTAGTGCAGGCAGGGTTGATTCTCTCGTTGCCGCAGAACTGTCCCTGAATTCCGTTGCATAGACAATTGCTTGGGCGACAGGCTCTCTTCTCAAGCTATAAACACCCACCCGTTTGTTAGTAAAATATCCAATGACATATTATGGACCACCTTACTTACAGGACTTTCAGCACCAGTGGCAGCTGCAAGGCAGGCAGGCACAAAGGCAACAAGAGCGAAGACGGTAGTGAGCTATAATGAACCCAAGTCAGTGGGTGGAACATAATCACCAGGAAAGATGAAGCCCACCTTCATGTTTTCTGATCGAAAGGATATAGCTGGGTTCAAATTGTTGGATTTTTCGATTTGTGTTGTTGGTCTGGTGGAAAGAAGCAGATGAACGGGGTAAACTGCTCCTTTATATATTTCATTTCGGGTCCCCTACCTTTCTTTTTGCCCTACTATTCGTCTTTGACTGCGGTCCGGGCTATACGGGCATCATGTCGTCTCTCATGCTGCTGGGAGAGGACTGGGAAGCCCATTCATTGGTACGTTCCACTCAACGAACAGCCAAGTTTCACACTCTTGACAAGAAGCTGAAGCTTGGGTGATAGCCGGTAAGATCCCTGCCGATACTTAACTATTAAATATCGTATAGCCTGCTTGCTTCCGACTTCATATATGCACGTCGCCTTGCAAACACGAGAACAAGTACTACTATTGGCGTAGGACGCCTGAATTCCGCTCTGCAAGGAGACATGCAGGCGGGATATCACAGCAATGGACGACGCGATGGGTTAGATTCAGGTGTTATGATTGAAGGATTCGAAAATACCACCCCCCCCCCCCCCCCCCCCCCCAATGGAGATCTGACTCGTATACTCCCGTGCGCTTTGTTTGGCATTTTCCTTCTCTGGACTAGAAGATATCCAGAGAGTGCAAGAATATCACTCCGTACATCTTCATCACTGACCTGACCAGCCGGGAATCACGGAGTTTTCTAATATTAGAATTTGCACGCGGTAATTTCTCCAGGTCTCCTGACGATCCACTTTTCTCGTGTCCATAGCGTTCTGCGCTGGATGTTGGTATTTCTTGATATTTTAAGATCTCTCCGGAGAATCTCCGCTGGGTGCTACTCGCATAATTGACGAGATCTTTGTCTTCAGAATCATCAGCAAGGGGGAGGGGAGTTGTAGAACAAGGGTGAAATACGGAGTATGGTGTATGAACTACCTGACACCCCATAGACCAGCAGTTGAGGCTCAAGGCTGAACATGGTTTCATTTAACTCACTAGTTAACTAACTAGTTCACGAGTTGGTTGGCAAGTAACAAGTTATGGAGGCTCACGGCGATCGTTCGTATTATGCTGGAATATCACCAGTAGGGGGCCATCGACCACGGTTGCCCAGCAATCAATAAGGATGACTTGAGCCTTTCAGCTCTACCTACCAGGTTGTTACGAGCCCCAACAAA